ACTACCACCACACAGACAACCAGCATGAGGTCAATACCACCACACAGACAACCAGCATGAGGTCACTAATACCACACTGAGATCTTCCCTTCTTTAAGCATACATGGCCTTCCAGGGAGGCCCTAGTGACCCATACTCTCAGTCTGGTCTACAGCGCAGTCTGGTCTACAGCGCAGTCTGGTCTACAGTACAATCTGGTCTACAGTGCTGTCTGGTCTACAGTGGTCTGGTCTACAGCGGTCTGGTCTACAGCGCAGTATGGTCTACAGTGCTGTCTTGTCTACAGTGCTGTCTGGTCTACACCTCTCTGGTCTACACTGCTCTCTTGTCTGCAGAGCTCTCTGGTCTACAGTACTGTCTGGTCTACAGTACTGTCTGGTCTACAGTACTGTCTGGTCTACAAAATGCATGAAATATCGTACCGCAGACAAGAGTGAAGACAAAGCCTGAGCAATCTTTTTCCTGGGACAATGTTTCGCTCTGAGTAAAACATCAAGTCAACCCTTGATAAAGGTCTACACAAGAAAAAAAAAAACGTTGTCCGAATGAGAGGTTGTTCTCAAACTCAGGTGTTTCGTGTTCTCGAAACCACATAACTACATAACATAAAATAAAAACTCTGCAGTAGGCCTATTCTCTCAAGCTAGGCTATAATGTGACACACACAGTGAAGAGGCGGGGCCAGGAGCTATGACTTGGCCCCTGTAACCACAACTAGGTGAGGCGAGTGTACACCCCCCACCCCCCCCCCACACCCCCCCCACACACACACACATACTACCACTTCACATAGGATAACTTGCTCTTGTAAATAACCTCACTAACGTTCCTTACCACTTTATCATATTTTTTTCCGTGGTCGTGACACGAGAGATTTATCAAAAAAAAAAATCAATATGGTTTCAATACGCAGATAAAAATCTCTTATCAACGTCAGTCCGCAATGTAAACAAACACGCTATCTCTCACACAATTTTTTTTTTCAAAGCAAAAAGTTTTCCCTTGCTTAGAGAGCTCATTTCTCATCCACTAAGTGTCTTCACTTTGCTTACATGTGTGTTAACTTTGCTTATAGTTGCTCAAGGGTTCTTGTCCCATCCAGTACGGAAATTGACTTTGCATAATGGTTAAGAAAAGTGTTTTCGTCTCCTACAATTTCCTTTATGGTAAGAAATGACGACTTACGTTCAAGTAGTAAGACAAATTACAAGACAAACTTTTTTTTTTATCGAGACAACGTGTGTGGAGCATTATATTATATTAATAATGGTGTGTACACAGTGACACCTCGTCCCTAAGAAGCCTTGGTCCATAACAACGTTGTTATTTGCTCAGAAGGAAGGCCGGATGAGGGATGCCAGTGCCAGGAAGTACCACGATGACACTAACCAGGACTCCCAAGCACTCTCTAGCACCATCACTCTCTGGCACCATCACTCTCTGGCACCATCACTCCCTGGCACCACCACTCCCTGGCACCATCACTCCCTGGCACCATCACTCCCTGGCACCACCACTCCCTGGCACCACCACTCCCTGGCACCATCACTCCCTGGCACCATCACTCCCTGGCACCATCACTCCCTGGCACCATCACTTCCTGGCACCATCACTCCCTGGCACCATCACTCCCTGGCACCATCACTTCCTGGCACCATCACTTCCTGGCACCATCACTTCCTGGCACCATCACTCCCTGGCACCATCACTTCCTGGCACCATCACTTCCTGGCACCATCACTCCCTGGCACCATCACTCCCTGGCACCATCACTCCCTGGCACCATCACTTCCTGGCACCATCACTCCCTGGCACCATCACTCCCTGGCACCATCACTTCCTGGCACCATCACTCCCTGGCACCATCACTCCCTGGCACCATCACTCCCTGGCACCATCACTCCCTGGCACCATCACTTCCTGGCACCATCACTCCCTGGCACCATCACTCCCTGGCACCGTCACTCCCTAGCACCGTCACTCCCTGGCAACGTCACTCCCTGGCAACGTCACTCCCTGGCAACGTCACTCCCTGGCAACGTCACTCCCTGGCAACGTCACTCCCTGGCAACGTCACTCCCTGGCAACGTCACTCCCTGGCAACGTCACTCCCTGGCAACGTCACTCCCTGGCACCACCACTCCCTGGCACCACCACTCCCTGGCACCACCACTCCCTGGCACCACCACTCCCTGGCACCACCACTCCATGGCACCACCACTCCATGGCACCACCACTCCATGGCACCACCACTCCATGGCACCACCACACCCAGACAGTTCCAGTCACCCAGAATCCCCCACTGTTCACTGCCGGGCATATAGGGCATAGCAAACACAGCAAGTGTCGGATATACAGAAAACAATGTACACATATATACAATGCACACATACATACGAACAATGCACACATATATACAATGCACACATACATACGAACAATGTACACAGATATACAAACAATGGACAGATATACAGAAGACAATGAGAATAAAATGTATTGAAAAACACGTTACTTTCCTTAAATTTTACTTTCAATTTAAGCAAGTGAGAGATGAGTACTGAGAGAGAGAACTCAATAAGGAACTACGACTCTTCAACCTTCAAGCATAATAGGCATTACCAACAAATCCTTAACTGTCATCAAGAAGAAACTCGGCACCGGGATGTGGTGCATACGTTGGAATGCAGTCGATGGGCACCAACAGCTTGATCTAACAGACTAACCAGGAGGCCTGGTCTGGGACCGGGCTGCGGGGCCCATGACTCCAGGTAATATATTGTGCATTTTAATTCCTTTATTGTATATAAAAGGTATTATAATATGTAAAAATTTCGTTGGACATGAATTTTCGCTAAACCTTTATGGGTCATGCAACACCTGGAAAATTATGAAATTATAGTAGGTGGGATACTGAAATATTAGTTTTCATGTGATAATTTACGAACGTCTCGTCCAGTCGGCATCAAACCTTCAACGCTAAAAAACTCGAGAGAGCAACTTGCGATATATTTTCTGATACTGGTTTCTGACTGACTATAAAGTTTCAGATCTGGAACATCTTAGTGGAAGGTTCTAACTGGTTTTCGCTGGATGACCCTAGTAGGTTTAGCGGTTGGTTTTAATAAAAATAATAATAAATTGGTTCTAGGCTGTGTAGGTTCCAATTTGCCAATTTCTATTTAAGAAATAGTGATACATAGTAGTTCTTGTGCCAGAATTTGCGAATAACTCTTCCGACTGGACTGAAATCTTCAGTGATAATATTTACCTCCATGGGACATTTATACCGCACTCTGCACTCTTCATTTAAACCTGCATTGACGAACAATTTACAATATTTCTCACATTAAATACTGATATGTATTGTTTTCTTAGTTTCTTAATTATAATGAAGTGAAAACCTCTCATTGTGGCAAGGTGAAACAGTCTCGGTAGTAGTAGTAGTAGTAGTAGTATTAGTAGTAGTAGTATTAGTAGTAGTAGTATTAGTAGTAGTAGTAATAGCAGTAGTAGTAATAGTAATAGTAGTAGTACTAGTAGTAGTAGTGATAGTAGTAGTAGTGGGGCTGGTATTGAGAGAGAGAGAGGGGGGGGGAGCTAGAGCTTCCTGGTGTAACTCGAAACCCAGTGAGGATTACGTCACTTAACTGTTTCATTCACCTCCCCGTCACATGGTACACACACGTACACATACAAACACACGTACACACATAAATTATGCATTGAACCTCGTGGCAGCGAGGGCCATATCGATGTCACTATATACCATGGTACGCCAGTGCCAGACAGCTAATATCAATCTCTTCAGAATTACTCCAGCATGCCTTTTGGACACCAAATACCAACACGAGATACTCTGCATTCTGTTCAGAAGTCGTAATCGTAGTCGTCGTGGTCATCTTTACAAGAATACATCATCTCACAACATTATTGCAAAACATGAGATTTTTTTATATGTAATCGGAATGGAACCAGTATTTATTTCTTGTAAGACACTTGATTGTTTATACTCTTACTCGTGTCTCGCTTCATTCACAGAGGTGCACACAATACACTAAGGTATCTCTCTTCATTCACAGAGGTGCACACAATACACTAAGGTATCTCTCTTCATTCACAGAGGTGCACACAATACACTAAGGTATCTCTCTTCATTCACAGAGGTGCACACAATACACTAAGGTATCTCTCTTCATTCACAGAGGTACACACAATACACTAAGGTATCTCTCTTCATTCACAGAGGTGCACACAATACACTAAGGTATCTCTCTTCATTCACAGAGGTGCACACAATACACTAAGGTATCTCTCTTCATTCACAGATGTGCACACAATACACTAAGGTATCTCTCTTCATTCACAGAGGTGCACACAATACACTAAGGTATCTCGCTTCATTTACAGAGGTGCACACAACACACTAAGGTATCTCGCTTCATTTACAGAGGTGCACACAACACACTAAGGTATCTCGCTTCATTTACAGAGGTGCACACAATACACTTAGGTATCTCGCTTCATTTACAGAGGTGCGCACAATACACTAGTGTTTCAGTCATGCACCAACAGTACAGTTCTGCACATATTTCACTATCTACAGGCCTTAAACCCGTATGTTTGTAGTTACGTCACACACCTGACAGTACACTTTTTAAACGCATTTCACTATTTCCAAAGGACAACACTTTTCACTAAGAGCTGAATCATGCACTGACAGTGCAATTTTAAACATATTTCACTGTTTACAGAGCTCCATACAATACGCTCCGGATTCATTCATTCGCTTACAGTGAGAGATAATGTTCTCTTATCCACATTCTATTTTACGAGAATTTTAAGCACGAGTTAATATGTGGGCCTTAGAGAGTTAGGAATGGATGAATAGATTGTTTGCAAGATATCTTGGGGAAGGTGTAGGTTAGTTGGTTGCTGGAGCAACGCGACACACGCATGCTCGCGCGCGCACTGCCGCTGCAGCAACTGCTTCAACCCACGTCAGTGCCCCCCAGCTGCTGCTGCTGGTGTATACCGACTCTCACGCCACCCCACCCACCACTGACTGCCTGCCTGGCCCACTGCACCATCCTGCCAGCCAGCCAGCCAGCTAGCCAGCCAGTCACCCAGCCAGCCAGTCACCCACCTAGCCAATCAAGTCACCCACATACCCTGCCAGTCACCCACCTAGCCAGTCAAGTCACCCACATACCCTGCCAGTCACCCAGTCACCCAGCCAGTCACCCAGCCAGCTAACCAGCCAGTCACCCTCCAACCAGTCAGCCGAGCACTCGCCACTCACCCAGCCAGCCACCCAGTCTTCACCTGTGTCTTCGCCTCCCTCAACGCAGATGTAATATATACAGACTTTGCAAAAGCCTTCGACAAGTGTGACCATGGCGTAATAGCGCACAAAATGCGCGCTAAAGGAATAACAGGAAAAGTTGGTCGATGGATCTATAATTTCCTCACTAACAGAACACAGAGAGTAGTCGTCAACAGAGTAAAGTCCGAGGCAGCTACGGTGAAAAGCTCTGTTCCACAAGGCACAGTACTAGCTCCCATCTTGTTCCTCATCCTCATATCCGACATAGACAAGGATGTCAGCCACAGCACCGTGTCTTCCTTTGCAGATGACACCCGAATCTGCATGACAGTGTCTTCCATTGCAGACACTGCAAGGCTCCAGGCGGACATCAACCAAATCTTTCAGTGGGCTGCAGAAAACAATATGAAGTTCAACGATGAGAAATTTCAATTACTCAGATATGGTAAACATGAGGAAATTAAATCTTCATCAGAGTACAAAACAAATTCTGGCCACAAAATAGAGCGAAACACCAACGTCAAAGACCTGGGAGTGATTATGTCGGAGGATCTCACCTTCAAGGACCATAACATTGTATCAATCGCATCTGCTAGAAAAATGACAGGATGGATAATGAGAACCTTCAAAACTAGGGAGGCCAAGCCCATGATGACACTCTTCAGGTCACTTGTTCTATCTAGGCTGGAATATTGCTGCACTCTAACAGCACCTTTCAAGGCAGGTGAAATTGCCGACCTAGAAAATGTACAGAGAACTTTCACGGCGCGCATAACGGAGATAAAACACCTCAATTACTGGGAGCGCTTGAGGTTTCTAAACCTGTATTCCCTGGAACGCAGGAGGGAGAGATACATGATTATATACACCTGGAAAATCCTAGAGGGACTAGTACCGAACTTGCACACGAAAATCACTCACTACGAAAGCAAAAGACTTGGCAGACGATGCACCATCCCCCCAATGAAAAGCAGGGGTGTCACTAGCACGTTAAGAGACCATACAATAAGTGTCAGGGGACCGAGACTGTTCAACTGCCTCCCAGCACACATAAGGGGGATTACCAACAGACCCCTGGCAGTCTTCAAGCTGGCACTGGACAAGCACCTAAAGGCAGTTCCTGATCAGCCGGGCTGTGGCTCGTACGTTGGTTTGCGTGCAGCCAGCAGCAACAGCCTGGTTGATCAGGCGCTGATCCACCAGGAGGCCTGGTCACAGACCGGGCCGCGGGGGCGTTGACCCCCGAAACACTCTCCAGGTAAACTCCAGGTATACCTAACGTTATGAAAAATAACTGAGTCATGTTTTGAATACCATAATACAAAAACAAAAAAAAATTCAATTGGGACATTGCTTAAATGATGTTGCAAAGTTCAATTATCTATAGAAAGGGTCAACACTAAAATTATTTACACGAATTTGTAAAAAAAAAGATGATAACAATGGGGAGTTAATATTTTGTTTACAGAACTGTGACGCAGGTGTTTCAAAGGTCAATAGTGCAGTCCTGGTGGTCCAGGCCTGGTGGACCAGCCCTAGTGGACCAGTCCTGGTGGTCCAGGCCTGGTGGTCCAGCCCTAGTGGTCTAGTCCTGGTGGACCAGCCCTAGTGGACCAGTCCTGGTGGTCCAGCCATCAGTGAGGCATCTCTTGTTTTGAAGGCTCTAGTTATCCATCCTATCATTTTCCTTGCTGCTGTGATAGTAACCATTACTGTGTTCATTAAACCTAAGATCTTCTGACATCACTCACATTAATCTTCTCTTCTATTGAATGGGTCGAGTTTGTTTCACATTCCGTTCCTTCTTACAACTTTTTTTACCACAGTGGAATAACTGAAATTTGTCCGTAATAAATATCCTAAGTGTTTTCTCTGGTCCGCTGATCTATGTCCACCTGGAAGACAGTGTATGCCATAAGAGAATGTACAGCTATATAGCAACAAACAATATGAATCAAGTACTTCACTGACTGGTGTATCGAGTCTCCGGGTCAAGCCTGACTCAAGCAAGATAACACCCAACACACGCAGAAACATGTATGCATCATATACAACTGTTTATAATGGAGAACTCAATTTCTTTACGGTGTATAACGTGCTTATATAAGCAGGAGGAAAGGGAGTCACCCACCAGTCTGGCAGGAGACACCCGCTCAACTCACCTAGATATAAACTCAACAACACTGCTATACTTGCACACTCAGTGATCATATTATATAAATATGATCTCTAGCATAGTGACCAAGTAGCCAAACACGAGGCAACACAGATCCTCACATGATATCCAACAGCCGAGCTACTGAGCAATCATATATATATATATATATATATATATATATATATATATATATATATATATATATATATATATATATATATATATATATATATATATATATATATATAATGTGTGTGTGTAAACACACGGCTAAATCTTCACTGTCAGAGACCGAGGCCGGGATCAACATACACAGGATCGAACCTCCACCTCTCCTCACCCTAAAATGACCCACACGGGTTAAGTGCTTCATGAAATGCAATACATTAAAATCTGCATATCAATGAGCAGCTGTGTCAGCAGCTGATCCAGCAGGTGATTACACACATTCCTATGCTAATGAATTGACTGTAAGTGACACACTAGGAACGGCAAACACAGTGTAGCAGAATCGATCTATTAGACGATGTTTCGCCCTGAAGGTTAAAATCGACTGTCAACTAATCACGTTTTCACTACAGCGCCACGGTCACATATCTTCAGTAACTACTCAGCATACCTCAGTAGTTACTGTAGCTTATAGCTCGAGGAACTGACTATCTAGCAAGGCTGACGGACTAATCACGCTAAAACCACTATACTACTGTTTACAGTGTTGTATTCGACTGAAGAAGTCTGATGTGCAGGTGTTGCATTTGTGTTTTATTCATCAACGTGTTGGTATTGAATACCGTTAATAATTATGTACTTACCTGAGTCTTGGTGCCCAGCACCAGCAGAGTCAACCAGGAGTCTTGGTGTCCAGCACCAGCAGATTCAACCAGGAGTCTTGGTGCCCAGCACCAGCAGATTCAACCAGGAGTCTTGGTGTCCAGCACCAGCAGATTCAACCAGGAGTCTTGGTGTCCAGCACCAGCAGATTCAACCAGGAGTCTTGGTGCCCAGCACAAGCAGATTCAACCAGGAGTCTTGGTGTACAGCACTAGCAGACGCAACCAGGAGTCTTGGTGCCCAGCACCAGCAGAGTCAACCAGGAGTCTTGGTGCCCAGCACCAGCAGAGTCAACCAGGAGTCTTGGTGCCCAGCACCAGCAGATTCAACCAGGAGTCTTGGTGTACAGCACTAGCAGACGCAACCAGGAGTCTTGGTGCCCAGCACCAGCAGATTCAACCAGGAGTCTTGGTGTACAGCACTAGCAGACGCAACCAGGAGTCTTGGTGTCCAGCACCAGCAGATTCAACCAGGAGTCTTGGTGTCCAGCACCAGCAGATTCAACCAGGAGTCTTGGTGTCCAGCACCAGCAGATTCAACCAGGAGTCTTGGTGTCCAGCACCAGCAGATTCAACCAGGAGTCTTGGTGTCCAGCACCAGCAGATTCAACCAGGAGTCTTGGTGTCCAGCACCAGCAGATTCAACCAGGAGTCTTGGTGCCCAGCACCAGCAGAGTCAACCAGGAGTCTTGGTGTCCAGCACCAGCAGACGCAACCAGGAGTCTTGGTGTCCAGCACCAGCAGATTCAACCAGGAGTCTTGGTGTCCAGCACCAGCAGATTCAACCAGGAGTCTTGGTGTCCAGCACCAGCAGATTCAACCAGGAGTCTTGGTGTCCAGCACCAGCAGATTCAACCAGGAGTCTTGGTGCCCAGCACCAGCAGAGTCAACCAGGAGTCTTGGTGTCCAGCACCAGCAGACGCAACCAGGAGTCTTGGTGTCCAGCACCAGCAGATTCAACCAGGAGTCTTGGTGTCCAGCACCAGCAGATTCAACCAGGAGTCTTGGTGCCCAACACCAGCAGAGTCAACCAGGAGTCTTGGTGTCCAGCACCAGCAGATTCAACCAGGAGTCTTGGTGTCCAGCACCAGCAGATTCAACCAGGAGTCTTGGTGTCCAGCACCAGCAGATTCAACCAGGAGTCTTGGTGTCCAGCACCAGCAGATTCAACCAGGAGTCTTGGTGTCCAGCACCAGCAGAGTCAACCAGGAGTCTTGGTGTCCAGCACCAGCAGATTCAACCAGGAGTCTTGGTGTCCAGCACCAGCAGATTCAACCAGGAGTCTTGGTGTCCAGCACCAGCAGATTCAACCAGGAGTCTTGGTGCCCAACACCAGCAGAGTCAACCAGGAGTCTTGGTGTCCAGCACCAGCAGATTCAACCAGGAGTCTTGGTGCCCAACACCAGCAGAGTCAACCAGGAGTCTTGGTGTCCAGCACCAGCAGATTCAACCAGGAGTCTTGGTGCCCAACACCAGCAGATTCAACCAGGAGTCTTGGTGCCCAACACCAGCAGATTCAACCAGGAGTCTTGGTGCCCAACACCAGCAGATTCAACCAGGAGTCTTGGTGCCCAACACCAGCAGATTCAACCAGGAGTCTTGGTGCCCAACACCAGCAGATTCAACCAGGAGTCTTGGTGCCCAACACCAGCAGATTCAACCAGGAGTCTTGGTGCCCAACACCAGCAGATTCAACCAGGAGTCTTGGTGCCCAACACCAGCAGATTCAACCAGGAGTCTT